CCCTTTAGTGAGAATGAGACGTCGCGACGACGCCACAAGTGCCTCAGATTGACAAATGCTGATCGAGCTTTAGCCATACGAAGCGAAACTTCTTTGTTGATAGTGCCGTCATCAGAAACACAGCTCCCAAGGTAGACGAAACTATCTACCTGTTCAAGTTGTGCACCTTGGAGAGTGAGCACGGGAGCAGGTGAAAGCCAATCCTTGAGCAGTACTTTACACTTCGATGGGGCGAAGCTCATGCCATACTTAGATGCTTCAACCGCCAAACGATCCAGAATGAGTTGCATACTCTGAGGATCGTCACCAAGTAAGGCGATATCATCAGCATAATCTAAGTCGGTCGCGCGCTCACCCGGTAGAAGCTCTAGGCCAAAATGTTGGAAACCTTCTAGAGCATTCGACAGAACGTCTTCGATTGCGAAGTTGAGGAGGAATGGGGACATAGGGCAGCCCTGTCGCACATCGCTATTGACAGTGAATTGCGAGGAAAGCTTGCCATAGACCCTCACTCTGCCGCATGTATGAAGGTAAAGTGCTCGTAAGATGGCTGTATATTTCTCTGGCACCCCGTTCTTTAGTAAGCAACGCCATAAAGCAGGTCGATCAACGGAGTCAAAAGTGTCACGTATGTCTAAGAATGCAACGATAGTGGGCCTGTGATAAATGTGGCGATGTTCAAGGAGTTGGCGGAGCGTGAAGATTTGATCCACGCATCCGCGGCCAGGACGGAAACCAGCTTGTTCTTCACGGTAGTATGATTCACGTACTGGGGATAGTCTACGAAGTAGAATGGATGCCAACAACTTAGAGGCAACCGAAATAAGACTAATCCCGCGATGATTTTCACATGAAGTGCGAGCGCCTTTCTTGAAAATTGGGACAATAATTGATTCGCCCCAAGAGGAAGGCACTTTCTCTTCATGCCAAATTTTTGCACGGGCAATGGGCACTAGTGGTCGTCCAGCGTGGCGTTAAGTCCAGTTATGTTACTCCATATGTTCCTGTAAATAAATATAATGCTCGTGGCCTTGTCGAAATACGGTTTCCTTGAGATCTCATTGATCAACACGTTGATGAGTTATCGTCTCCGTTTACATTCACTGGTATGCGGCAACTATGGACAGCGACTCTGTGCCACCCTTTCTAAACTTTCTCTTTCGACAGAACTTCTTCACATTCTTCGGCCTGACTTTAATGCAGAATTCCTCCTTAGGGCACGTTTCATAAATATGATGGTTGAATGGACAAAACGTGTAAAATGCCATTCGCTGCATGACCAGAAATCTATAAGAAATTTATTTAGAGTGCTCTTGAACGGTTTGTTTGAACTGACATTTCGGGCCTTTTTCACAGAGTTCACGGTCTCAGGTGGTGCGAAGCGATTCTATTCGATCGTGGCAGTATCGTATCTCAGATTGAGCAGGCGTTTGCATTCGCTTACGAGGGCTTTCTGTGTTAGATCGGGATCCTGAACCATCTTCTCTAAAAGCCGCGTGCGGATATCACCATTGCGGAACTGTAGAGCGCTGACGGAAATGCGACATTTATACTGATCATCCGTTAAATAGCATAGCTTGAAGCGGCACGCGCATCTACATCATCGTCATCATCAAAACACGTTAGCAGAGGATGACAAACACACCACAACTACTATACCACAATACAGAAAGGCAATATAATAAAAATTACACCACAAAAAGACTCTGAAGCACGTAATATTTTAAATATTAACTCATGCGTTTCGTATGATACCGGAACTTGGGGGGATGTACAAAGAAACTCACAACACAAGCGCCATTGGGGTTGACTCTTCGCCATATCCGCAAGTGTGTCCAACCAAACGTTTTCATCGTCCTTAGGACCCTAGCCAGGCAGTTGGGATGCATCAACCGACGCCAGTTTCGAAGTAAGGCTTTTCACCTTTCTCGACCAAGTCATCGCTTGGCCTCCTCCCCTTCTCTTCCATTCATACCCTCGACGCGAAAACCACACACCCCGCTGGAGTCGGCTAGCTTGCGCAACATGTGGCCCAGCCATCGGAGCCTGGTGCGTGATATAGTGGTGCTTATCGGTTCACTCGCTCTTCCTGCATCAAATACGCTACACCGAACACGCTGATTGCTCACGCGATGGTTTTACTAGACGTGCTAAGTTGCGAAGGCAGCGATGATTCAATGTGACGAACCTCTTTATGTCTGTCGACCTGATGGGCCAGGTTTCACAACCGTATAAGAAGGTTGAACGGACGGCTGCATTGTATACTCTGCCTTTCAGGATGAGATGTCTCGTCGAAGATTGACAAAAGCACCTCGAGCTTTCCCTGTACAGTACTTAACCTCATCTTCGATCACACGGGCGCTAAGATAGCTGCCCAAGTACTTGCATTCCTGAACGACTTCTAGCTGATCACCCCCAAGCGTTATCGCAGAGGTGGGTCCCTGCCAATCTTGGAGAAGTACTTTGCATTTCGATGGAGCAAAGCATAGCCCAAAACGATTGACAGCCAGTGCTAATCGGTCCAGGGCTGCTTGGCATGCTTGGCAGTTGTCACAGATTAGGGCAATATTGTCCGCTTAATCTAAGTCAAGAAGTCGCTCACCAGGAAGTAGCTCCTCACCTTCTACGTCGTGTCCAGCGTATGCTGTTTCTGAATTCGTCAATGGTGAACTTAAAGAGGAAAGTTGACGGCGGGCAACCTTGTTTCACACCGCTGGTGATACTGAAGCGCGGCAATTGTTTGCCGTAAGCCCTCACTCTGCCCGAACTTTGAGCGTAAATCGCTCTGAGAATCTTTGCGCATTCATCGGGCAAACCTTCCCCTAGTAGACAGTCCTAAAGGGCACATCTATCGACTGAGTCAAGAAATACGACAACGGTGGGTCGCCAATAAACATGGCGGTGCTCCTACAACTGAGGCGTATGCCGCAATCGCAGACAGACACGGTTTGTTCCCGCGCGACTTCGAAGCTCGAACTACCTAAGTAATCTAGCGGCGCACAATCCGGCTATTGACTGGGATCCAATTGATCAGGGCAGCTTCAGCCCGGGGTCTCCAAACGATGCCGACGCCAGGTTGTCCGGCATTTGTAGCTGCATCATCGCCAGACAGGCGCACTGAGAATGGGCCGCCAATATCGCATGTGGGGATCGCAACGCAAGCACAAAACTCGAACCTTGCAGGTGGGTTTCTGATAAGTAACAAATATCGTTCGATGGGGTCTCGAGTGTGCGGGCAAGTGCTGCCTGTTGGCTAATCGGTAACGAAGTGCGCACGTTGAGATATGCCAGTGTTAGCGAGTCTCGAGGACTCCAAAGGAAAACGGACGAACTGAGGTTGTCCGCTTTGTTGAACATGGACTTGTCGGCTGGACTGGAGCGACACTCTGCGACTGTGTATGTTGAAACTAGAAGACCAGCGACTATTGAATCAAAGTTGAGGCGAGCCGAGAATTGGGTGATTGAAAATGGGGGGATAAAAGTGAAGTTGGAATGGGACGATAAGGATGAAGAAGCGCAAGAAGGGGAATACGAAGACGGAAGGTCTGAACAGTAGCATACAAACCGCTATCAACCCTTCTCGATGTAGCACATAAGGCGCCGTTGATTCTCGTCTTTAATGGCCAGAGCATCAAGAGATTGTCAAAAGGAAAAGTCATTGTGTTGTATTGCGTGATCAGGATATTGACAGGTTGCCCAGGCCTCGGTAGTAGAACGATTAGTGTCCTCAACCAAAGCCTTTGGTTCAAAAATTTTACCACAAGGCAGCGGGGTTACGGCAGTGGACCACAGAGAGCCCGTTTTATGGAATAAGGAGCTACCTATACCAGCCTTCAACCTGGAGGACCAGGAGACTGAGTTCGTTTTGCCTCTAACCATTGACCAAATTTGTATGAGTGGTGCAAAATGCACCACTCAGCATAGCTCAATGGATCGCTGAGGCACACAAATCATCGTACCGCGTTAAGGTCTAGTGTTGTCGCGCACACTCCCGGTTATTCATGTCTGCTAGGGCCCCAAAATTGTCCGTTTTCCATTTGACAATTTTCGTACCTTGATTGCGAATGCGAAACAAGCATATTAACTCACTGACATTTTCATTGAGCTCTGACACTGCTTTGTCGAACGTCAGATCCTTCGGTTCTTTGCGCAGAATGGGGTCTATGAACCTTGAATCTTCACTTCTGCTGAGCTTGCAGAGTAGCAGTCGTACCTTCCAAGAGTCGTCCTGACGAATGATGTCCGTCCGGAACACCTCTTCCCAGCGCTTGAATTACACTTCGAATCTACATCTAGTATTCGCCTCATAATTGAATTCAATAACATTCGTGAGAAGATCAACCGAATTGACCTACGTGTCCCCCGTTGCTGCTCCTGTAGACTGCAGACTCAGCCATTGCGTCAAATTTTCAATCCATTTGAGATTGCCTTTGCAATTGTTCAACAGAAATATTCATCACATTTCCAATTTTCTCTGTTTCCATTTATTATAATCTTCCCACTTGACGCAATTCCGAAATTGGCACTTTACTGCTCCATGAAACCTCTAGCCCAACCGATGAAAAAAAACGGAACGCCAATGACATTTACAAAATATCGTGTTAACCGCCGTCAACAAAACACTACAGCAGCAGCATACCTTGGTTGTATTTATAAATCTTTGAGCGACATTGGTCTTTTGGGGTAGGAAGGTCAACTGACAGGGTTAGTCGTTCCATATAGATTTGGGCGATCTTCACTAGATCGTTAGTCACGTACATGCCTTAGAACATTCTAGAGCGTTCAAAATGGATGCGCTAATCGGTTAATCGATGCCAAATTGCTTTCCTGGGAAATTCTTATCCTTTCCCGGACACTAGTCCGATCATTGGTTTTTCATGCCCTTGCGGTTGCCCTTCGCCTTTTTGAACATAGATCATACGTTTACCTTCGCTTCATAATTTTTGCTCCAACGACTTTTCGGTTCGTTTAAATTTAATCGGAATTTTCTTATTTTACAGTCTATGACAGCAATTGCTCCGAACACCTACCAGAATCTATTCACCGGACAATCAGATGGTGAGCTTTTACCACTGCTCAACAGTCCAGTGGTGCTTTTTATTATCTGACTCCACCCGAATATCTCCCGTCTCACTGACTAACATTCCATCTGCATACCATCATCTCTCTGTGCAGCTTTTGCTAATGTCTTGTCTCCATCATTTCGCCACTGCTTGTTTTATTTGCTTGGCGCTGAATCACATCCACCCATATGGATCATTCAGTTTACGACTTATATTTGAGCTTATATTTTTCCACTCAATAAGTGGCCTATCATTCTCAGTTCATCTGCATCACTCACCTTATCGCGACACTTAGTCTCAACCGCGATTCATTTTGAAGTAAACTTCAGCTAGTTTGATCACTAGACATGTTATGATCCGATTGCTCGACGAGTGTTTGTTAGATCTCTTTATGCGATTCCGGTTGAACTGCTCCGAATCCCAGCCAACATCAGTAATCAACACCTGGGGACAAAATCATATTGCGGAAACAACTAACGAAAACGGGAACAAGTAGTGTAAAATCAATGGAGTGTTCACATCTCAGAACAGCTTAGTAGTTCAATTCCGCTAGCCAATAAATAACTATTTACTTCTCGACAACGCGAGGGAAGGTAAGTGCGCGCGTCATGTTTTGGACGCGAATGTTCCCAAAAAGACTTGATGCTTTGGCTGTGCATTATCGGCTCAAGTCGTTTTCTCATTGAAATAATGGTCTACCGGATAGCTTTACACGAGCTGACAATGAGCGATTAACCGTTGTGACAAGCGTTATCCGCGACCCGGTGGCGCAGGGATGAGCATATCAGCCGGCAATCTCTACGTCCCGTGATCGAGTCGCACTTCCTTTATCTCTACTCGAAGCGTATGAACATGCATGGAATCTATCGCGGAGTTCATTTTTACGAGCTAATAATAGTTAACATTTATCCGCTACCTGCACCCTAAACCTGTTACTGGAATTTTTATATCACAGATTCCTCAGTATCGCAGCTGAATGTAGACATCCGTTTTTATAACTACCAGCTTACCGTAGGTACTATTACCGATATCTAGCTGCCTGCATCTCCTACTGGAGGGGCTGGCATAGTAGGGATATCGCAGAGTTGACACCTACACCTACATAAACTTTTAAGAGGGCTTCAGGTTCCACTTTCAGCAACATTTCAACTGACCTTTCACCTGTGATCTCTTTCACGCGTAGGTGGTACAAGTGGACTACTGTCAGATAATTTATAAACTCCTTTAGAATCCAGGGCTTGGGACACGGTCTCCTTTGTCGATCGATACAACGCTTCTATTATTAAGGCCATAACAAGAACTCATAAAGCAGGAGTGAAGTGTGAAGTATGTCGTGAGTTAGATTAGCAAAACTTCGATGATAAGGAGAACTCAACCAGATAAATGTGAGATACACTGTGTATGAGATTCAAAAGAAAGTACGAGATAAAAACTTACTTCCATCCCCAACTAAAGCAAAAGGACGTACCTTAAAAAGCACGAACCCCAGAGCGATGAGAAGCAAACCTGTCAGTCTAGACGGCGTCGATGATGTGACGCTTCATAAAAAGGAATGGCAATAACACTCGAAAATTCTCGCGGCCAAGTAGACAAGTGTGCTGGATAATGAATTGTTGAGAGATGATCAGAAACAAATGGTTTGGATCCAATCCACTGGGCGTTAAAATCAGAAAAAAGCGAGCAGACAGTGCGGCCCAAGTAATGCCTTTGATAGCAAGGGACTATGCGACATTAGTGGCATGAATACGGAAGCTTTTGTCATTCTGTTGCATTCTTCAGCAAGGGGAGCACCAGTTGGATCGAGGTAAGCGGAGAAAGTGGTTAGACTGAAGGCAAAGCGATCTCAACAGAAGTATGCATGTCCTTGCTCATCTTGATGATTACGCTGGATAAAGCGATCTATTTACGTTGCTCGATGATCAGTGCACGCTACCTTTACAACTAGCTGTGAAGGTAAAGGTGCACATAAGCCCAGACACTGGCGGAGCGTCTAAAGCGTGGTCGAGCGAATGTGGTAGTTTCCTCCATTCTAATATGGGACGTCTTCACAGAGTTGTGCTCTTCATCGGCCGCAACCTCCAACACGACTGGTCAAGAAACATCAACTAATGTGATATGAATAGCACACCACACAAGTAGACGCATCATTATGTGTAGTTCGATGTTCCAGAGATGTGCGTGAATCGCTGCGTCTCGCTGAGGAGCCCCAGTATCGTTGTAGGTGAGTTGATGTGTTGACAAATTCCTACGCAATCACCACCTACAGCTAGCCTTTTAATTTTGTATTATTGCGGCAGTGGTACGCCAAGAGAACTTGTCGACTCGCTTCTAGGCATTAAATTCAGCTTGCAACTTGCGTTTTGTTTGAAATTACTGTTATTTTCTTGGTCTTTACTCAACCACTGTCAACACACAGAAGATGAGAAGACAAACAAGCACTGGTGAGAGATGTATCTCCGGATGGGCAAGTCCCGAGGGATTGGACATTATACAGTGGAAAGTAAAGAGCGTCACATTCCAGGCTAGGATCACTGACGAGCTGAAATAACAGAAGTATCAGTTGTAGTTAATGAATATATATATATATATATCACCAAAGGGAATACATTCGTTTGTAAGCAGCCCTCCTAACCCCCCTTGGGACTGGATACTTACTGCCTTGGATCCAACTGCATAGGTACACGCCACCTTCTTATTAGTGCAATCCAACGGCTAGGTGTGTAATCGACTGAAGTAACTGGTTGAATTTCGGACCTCTTCTGGATCTCAGACGTATGTAGGAGCATGTCGGTAGCAAGGTCAGAGTCGTGAGGATGTATTTTGGCAGGGAGACGAACGCAACTGGTTGACATGACGGACCCATAGTGAGGAGTGAACATCCACTTCATAGGTTACCTGGCCCGTGCAACATACAATCTGACCCTTTGTCCACTTTTCGTCACCATCACGATTATCATTAACCAACACGGATTGATCACATGCAAGTCACGACACCGTGACAACGGTTGTGTTGGTTCTCCATGCGCATGTTTCGACAACTCGGCAAATGTGAGGCTGGACGAATGACATCGAGGGGTAAACGTATCTTTCAGTTCATCAAATCTTCTTCCGGTGAGTTTCTATTTGGTGTATTGAAATTTAACATTGATTTGTAGCTCAGCAAGATGGTTTCGTTGATTTCCGTAGTTCCCACCTCTTTGAGCTTTAACAGCGATCGCTTGAAAGTATCAGCGAAACGTTTGACTTGGTTGTTGGATTGTGGATGGAATGGCAGCGATCGGATATGCTGGATACTGTTTTGTTCACAAAAGGCGTAAAATTCCTCTGAAGTGATCGCTGTACCGTTGGGAGAGACTAAGGTGTGTGGAATCTCAAGACGGTTGTAGCTGTAGCCTTAAGGTGGTCGCACGTGTTGTGATACGATCCATGGTGAAAATATTCCGGTCATTTTAGGCATCAACCAGGAGCAGATGGTGTTGACCATTGATTGGTCCGGCAAAATTAACATGAAGTCGTGGCCATGCGGTGTCTGTTACTGGCCGTGAGCACATTTCTGTATTGCGAGATTTTGCAAACAGTTGGCATTTCGTACAGGTTTGGACAAATTCTTGCAGCTTTTACCCATGTTTAGCAAATACACGTAACTGCGTGCTAAGCCTTTTATGCGGTTTATTCTAGGGTGCCCAAAGTGAAACCGCTTCAATACGCATTCTTGCAAACCGTCCAACCTGCTATGTCCACCAGCCAAAAGCATCCCCAACGTTTTCTCACATGAGTAATGTCCCTATGCATGAACCTGTTCATGGCGATCATCTGTCCAATGCGACCACTTTTTGTCCGTCTCTTGAGTGTTCTCGCTAGACCCGTTTGACTGTATTAATGTACTACTGCTTTCCGTAAAGGAAATACGCCCATCGATCTCCATCGAAGAACGACCACGTTGTTGGAACGGTTGAAGTTGATGAGAAAGGCCCAATGATTGCCACTGAGTGCGATGAAAGCGAATAACTTCCTGTAACAATGGATCATGAGCAGTGGACTCATGGATCATAGCAGAAATAACCGGTAGTGTGCGGACTGAGGTGTCAATCAAGGTGTTTACTTTTGGCCTTACAGATACTGACGCACCGATGGTGTCTTCAGGCTGTTGGGGGTAAGATTCAATGAGTCGTGACAAAGCATCAGCCTGGCCACTATCTTCAGTCCACTGTTATTTTATGGAAAAGTCATTACTCATCGTTGAAGCCGATTAACTGTCTAAACTGGGGTCTCTTTCTCGGATCCGAAAATATCGAGTCTTGTGATCCATTACTAGAGTAAAATGACATTCACAAAGCTTTATGACTCTTCTTGATTGCAAAGACAATGGCTATAGCTTCTTTTTCAACCTGACCATAATTGAGTTCACTGTCAGTGATCTGGCTGAATGAGCGATTGCTCCTTTTGAACCATCTGTGAAGAGGTGTGAGATAAATATTCCCATTCCGTAATTGAAAGCGGCTGAACCGGCAACTATATCCAAGGCGAGGTTGTAATGTGTGGGGAGCAAATCAGAACTCAGTAATGGTTTAACTCTTTCAAACGCGCACTGACATTCTTTTACCCAGTTCCACAGCACATCTTTATGTAAAAGATGGTTGAGTGGGTCCCGGACATGATGCATATCCGATAAAAGTTCTGTACTGGCTTACCAATCCGAGAAAAGATCGTGGAGTAGTCATACGAGCCGGTGGGGACATTTGTTGAATTGCACACATCTTTACTGGACCAGGATGACGACCACTTTTGTCGAAAATAAGTCCAATATATTTACTGGAGTATAGAAAGGAAAAACCTTTTTGCGCGATGATGAAAACTAATATATATATATATATATATATATATATATATTGCTGATTTCGATCGAGTTCGCGATGTAAGCTATGTGACAGTTCCTCCTGACTGCATGCAGTGACGACGATGTCATCAAGGTAGGCAGCTACTCCTGTAAGCTTG